CAGACATCATGAGACATAGTCTTAGTCCTGCAATTTTGGTTTTTTAAATAAGTGTTTATCTGGAAGCAAAATAGTAGTCCCACTACAGTGTTTGAGGAACTTATATTCACATAACTGGGTCCCCAACATGAAAACTATGTTAGCAGAAGAGTAAGTTCTGTTCTTAGAATTTAAGAAATAAGCCACCACAAATTTCTTGCCATTTTCTCATCTAAAGTAACATAATTTTAAAACTTGAACAATCTCCACCTTTGACACAAGCATGCATAATTTGGAATCTGGATACATACTAGATTTTACCCTTCATACAACCTGCCACCAATGGATGAATGAATAAACCTGAAGAAGCATTATGGGAAAGCCTCACTAAAATTGTTACTCCAAACTTTTTATGTTTTCCTTTGCGATACCATTGGGCAAAACTCTGCACTGCTCCTCAGCTGAATTCTCCCATGATGACACCAGTCACATGGACAGCACATCGATTCTGGCCATTTAACCTACTGTCTATCCCCCTACAGAGTTCAGCAAATGGTCTCCCTGCTTCCTCACTGCACAGCACACGGTCCAAATGCCTGCTGCCTACAGATCTTCAAAGTAAAAACACAAATAATCTCATTTGCAGATACTCCCATGCTGCAGAAATTAGATTGCAAATCTGATGCTTCAGCAAAGAGGACTCAAAGGAGAACACTGCTATAGTCTCTTGTACAGGCAGAGGGACAACCACAATGGCTGCATTTCTTCCTTAACTCAACCCATGTTACTAGGTTCACTAGGTATTTCAGACAGGTGTCAAGCAGGCTCCCTCAGTCTGCAAAGACACTGCCAAACCACAGCCTGAAAACGCTTCCAAATACATATCTTGAAAGGCATTAAAAAACCCCAGAACTTGCTTATCTGACGGTTATGCCTGCTTCTTAAGTTTTTGTTTCCTTTGGGAGGGACTAACACTTCTGCCAAACGACACAGTTGCTCAAATGACACATCAGTTTACGGGAATCGCTGCTCCCCCAAACTACATTGTTAAAAGTGAGGAAGAAGGTTGGGAAAGGGGACACATCCTGATCGAACAGGTGTACTGAAAAAGGTGATGTAACGAAGCCCTTTATCTCTTCCATGTTTATTCAAAAGGACAAGTTTCTGGTTACTTAAATTCACAACTGCAAAATGGTGTTGTATAATCTAATCACAAAGCTGTATGGTGGACATCACACACTTACTCAAACACATGACATATGGGACTGCTTTAACATTATTTGGAAACATACGGCCTAAAAAAATAACCTACAGTATGTGGCATATAGTTGTACAGGCTTCTTGCTAAAGAACATATTTTATCAAAAGTAAAGACAAATGAGATGCCAAAATATTCATCGTGTGATTTTCTTCCAAGTAATAAAATCTTTTACATGGTATATCAGAAGTTTTCTCTTTGAGGCACAAAAATAAATGCAGATGCTAAGACTTTGTAAGACAGAAGAAAATGTTTTCCACAATATATTGTATCTAGACCTTCTTCCAGGCTACTCCAAATAAATTTGTGCAAGCATTTCGGTAACTGAATAAAATATGTGAAAGCAAACAGTACAGTGAAATAAATTAGAAATAAAAATGAGATTATTTAAACCTAGCAGACCAATCTGCAACATATGGAAGGACTGAAAATTCTCCCATTAAATTAGTTAGTAAAACAAAAATCAGTAGCACAGGCTAACATAGACAAAAAAAATTATATGAGTTAACCATTAAAAAATGTACCATGTAAATTAAATATGGGAAAAAATAGTAATGGTAAAATGCCATATACTGTTGCACAGTGTGTTGCACAACAATGCTTTTTTGCAAGAATAAGTCTTAGTTCCATTTTTATTTACATCTTCAATAGATGTATGTATCGCATTCACGAAAGTTACCAGTTATATTGAACTAGGAAGAACTGCACATAAAAGGGAAAAAATAAAAATAATTTAGTACCCTCACAGATCAGAAGTTCAAAGCTTATAAAACCCAGGAGAATCATGAAACAGGAATTAAGTATCTATCTGCAAAAGAATCATAACAACATATTGAAAGTGAAGAAGCAACAACGCTCTAAGTTATTTAAAACAGTTGTCAGAAATAAAGAAATACGATTTAGGCTTGTGAGACCGTAGCCAGTAGACGAAAAGTTTGGTCTTCCTACACAAAGGGATCATGTTACAGAGGAAAAAAGCAAACAAACAAAGCCCACACTTAACAGATGACCTTCAGACTAAGTCCACCAAATCATGTATGTGGAATGGTGTCGTGGGCATCAAGCTATGGAGAACTGAGCTAAAAAGCTGAAAACAACAAAAAGTTGTCTAAAAAGAGCAGACTAAATATAGCTTGAAGAAAGTGGAAAGGAATGGAAACATACAGCTAGACCAGTACATGCATGCAGGTTCCATATTACAAAGACAATGATGAATATGTAAAATGGCATAAAACGTGGCTTAGAACACTGGCATGAAGTTACAAAAAAGAACTACTAAACATCATGTAAATCCTCCTGTCAATGAGACAAAATCATTGAATTAATCTTCAAAAGCAGGCCTAATTGTTTAGAACATATATAAAACCACACTGGCCAAGACAATATTAAAATGCACAAGTCTACAACCCTGCTTTAGCAAGCAGATGGACTAGGTAACCTAAATAAATTTTTTTGTCCCTAACTCCTATGATGATGTTCAGATGATCTGACAGGCTCATGCACAATACCCTGCAGTCCTACAAGTATGTGAGCAAGTACAGTAAAAAGACATTGCCATCAATTATGAAGACCAGCACAAAAATATATATACTCCACAACCTCTTTGTAAGGCTACATTTGTTTTGTTTTTTAAAGGCACCTCATCCTCTAGCTATTGCCAGCTTTTAAAAAAATCACTTTTCAGTTTGAGCAAGAGCTCAATAGTGAGAAGGAAATATCTTTCAATTCATATCTGAACAGCTGCTTCTTACATTCCAACTGTAATCAGAATAACAGTCTTTAAAAACAAGCATGCCAGCCTATTAGTTTTAGGTACAGCAATTTTAACAACTGTAACTACATATTGTATTGTGTAAGCAAAAGCACAACATTCATTTCATACTCACACCGTTATCCTTTGTATACACAAACTCAAGAGAACTCTTAATACTAAAACATCAAAATGCACCCATGGAGTCTTCCCTTACTAGACACATTTAATACATGTTTACAATATATATACACATATATAATATACATAACTTTTAGAATTTTTCAAATAAATCTTTGTAATTTTCTCTTCAAAAAGAAATAAAACAATGACACTGAAAGAATATGAGTCAAGTAGACAGAACTCTCACAAAGTTGAATGCTCAGTTTTGCAGCCAGGTTTACCCCTCTCCATCATAAAACCAAAACACTTTATAAAAACTAAATAATCTGAATTACTATTGTAGTCATCTTTCATGGTAAAAGTTCTAATCTTATCTATGGAAATATATTGCATATCAATATCACAAAGTGACATTTCTGAAAATTCTGAGCAATAAAATGTATTCCAGGATATTTTTAGCAGTAAATATAAGGTGTTGGAGGCTCAAATAGCACAGGTCAACCTTTTGTTCTAAATAATATAGTTGATTTAAACTCTGAGACCAGCTTCAAATGTGGTCCCATCCCCAAATGCCACTCTAAAACCAACACAGTCAAACCCTACATTGGTATCTTTCAATGATTCCTTTTCAAAAAGTGTCAGTTTAAAGGTAAAGATTTATTTACCAGTTTCCAGTCTTAACCTCAGGCTGGTATGCAGAAGAGTTGCACTGGGTTCTCTCCTATTCACATCAGCATGAGAAATCATCTCCAGCAGAATTCCTGCCTTCCATTCCCATCAGAGGAAAACACCAACTTCAGGCTTATGAGCAGTAATAACTCTGATGATGACACATATTAGAAAAGAATCCACTCACCTTCCTTTAAGAAGGGATAAAAAGACCAAAAGATGGGATTAAAAGTTATTTGTCATTCAAATCAACAGAGAAGCTCTGAGTACATGAACAAATCATACCTGTTGAATAACTACAAGAAGCACTCATTCTTCAGGTAACCTAATCAATGGCTCGATATGCCCAGTGAAGCAGACAAGTTAAAAAGTTCCACAAATAGTGAAGCTGGGAAATACCTCTAGAAGTATCAGAATCTCTCAAACTGATGGAACTTCAGATAGTTCCCACCTATTGCAGAAGTAGGACTTATACAAAGCATCAGGTATAGGTTAATCTTCAAGAGAATATTTCACTGTTATCCTTAATGCCCAGAATAATACCCTTTGTAGCAGGAACAGAAAGAGGACGTGAATGTTTGATAGTTAAATTGTAGGACAGCTTCGTTGGAAAGCTTTGTGATAATTTCTTGTGACAGATCTCAAAGAATAAACAGCGTTATAAATTCGAATAAGTTAAATCTGCTACTACAGTATATACAGACTGCTTCAGTCTGCTGTTAACTGGAACTAGACTAAAGGCTCAGCTTCTAGCTGCACGCTGATACAGTCTTTAAAAAATTATATAAATTTTTTGCAACCTAAATATTTACTGTATAACATAGAAGATGTAACAAAAACTTTACTGCATTTTAATTTATGTTAGTAATTTGCTTTCCTTTAATTGAATTCATCTTAGGCTAGCAGTCAGGTGGCTGACACTAACAAACTGTTGCTGCTCTCTGAACAAGATCTACATTATTAATACCAAAGAGATGACAAAGTGCCTCGCACATGACACAGTAATAAGCATGTGAACTGATACTTTTTCTAGGTGATTTAAAGCACTTTAGGATTTCTCAGTGAGAAGCATCCTAGGAAGTTTCCCTCTTTTCCTATTCCCTGATGCGATTAGACCCCTTCCTTCCAGACCTCCATTTTATTAATATACAATATATAGACCTAGTTTCACCCAAGGCCTGCCTGGACGAAAATTCACACCCTCTGAAATAAAAGCATTTCTTTTGTTTTTTAACTATTTGAAACTGAGAGTTTCCAAGCTCTCAGCACCAGCTGAGCTCACAGAAACCAGAACAAATGGCAATTTAGAAAACAGCACCCTGCAAAACTAAATGCTTACAAACATTCTCTGAATTATAGGGCAGGATAAGACAACTTAATGCCCTCCTCTTCTCTTTTGTGCATCTGGTTAAATACATACAAAGCTAGAGTTGAAAGGGAAGCACTCTGTCATACAAACACTTTAGCCAGGGCATCTGCTCCTGCACTGGCAATATAACATTTGGAGGGGTGGAATGCCACATCATGAATGGACTCATCAAATTTTTTGCGATGAGCAGTAAATTCTTGGATGCAGGTCTTGCTTTCAAGATTCCACAAGCGAATCGAACAGTCATGACCTAAAGAAAGTGGAAACAGTTTCCTTTGTAATTCTCATGTCCACCACCATTATAAGAAACAGAAAATGAAATCTGAATGTACTTACTGCCAGACATCAAATACAAGCCATTAGGATCAACAGCTAAACTTGTAACTGCATCTAAGTGAGCCACCATGGAGTGGATCAGTTTACCTTTGAAAGAAAATACTTATTTAGGTTAATTTTCTGCAATTCACTTTGTTATCTGTATTCACTGCTTAAAACCTACCACAGCTCATATTACAAACACAAGATCTTGTCCCATGATTGAATCACTATGATTATGTAAGAAGACATTATTTTAATGTTTACACTCTCAGGAGAGCCGTAGTACCAACATCACCAACTTTGCTGGACGTTTGTTTTATGTTTGCAAAACCACTGTGAAGCTACAATCACTGCATTTTAAGTATCTGTCCCTTAAGTGAATTAAGTGAGTTCAGGAGTAAGATCTTGACTGGGAAGGAGGGCAGGGGCTGAGTATACTAATAAGCAATGAATATAAACTACATAAGACTATTGATAATTTTAATCAACTCAGAGAATTAATGTTCTATTACAGCTTATCATAATTACAGTAATGATTTCATGTTAAAAATAAGAAATAATGGGTCAAATGTGGGTTTTTTTTTCAGAAGATAATAAAACAGAAAAAAATGAGCAGCCATTTCCTCCACTATTTATTACATAACTACATCATCAAACAAATCAGCTATTTTCAGCATTTTCCTCAGCTTCCATCGGGTCCTTTCACCTCTTCTTATTTAACATACATCTGAGGAGTAGCAAACAGAGTCAACAAGAATATTGAAAGATCTCAATTTAACTTTTAGGAGTGTGACCTGGAAGCAGAGAAGTCACAAACTGAAGATTATCAAGATTCACAGTCAGAATACCAGATTTATACTACATTCCTATCAAAATGTCCTTTAAAACCTAGGAGATTTATAATTGCACATCTCAGTGCAAAACTCACTACAAATTAGAAAAAGTACTATAAGCTGTCCAGCTGTTTCTGCAGAAGTGAGAGATTTGGAGAAATAGAGTGGATCAAGTTGAGAATGATGCCTATAAGGGAACTTCTACCACCAAGCCATCAGGCACAGGTCTTGGAAGCACTAAAGGAGTGCCAGAGCTTCCTGCTCTCAGATCAAAATAACACAGACAACACAACAGAAAAAACATGAACATTAGCACATAAAGACTTTGAAAAAGCTTCCTTTTATGTTAAATATTGATAACCCCTGTACATAAGACATTTAAAAAGAATGGACAGAGAATGATCATAGAATCATAGAATAGTTTGGGTTGGAAGGGACCTTAAAGCTCATCTAGTTCCAACTCCCCTGCCATGGGCAGGGTCACCTTCCACTAGACCAGGTTGCTCCAAGCCCCATCCAACCTGGCCTTGAACTCTGCTAGGGAGGGGGCAGCCACAGCTTCTCTGGGCAACCTCTTCCAGTGTCTCAGCACCCTCACAGTGAAGAATTTCTTCCTAATAGCTAATCTAAATTTACCCTCTTTCAGTTTGAAAGCATTCCCCTTTGTCCTATCACTACACTCCCTGATAAAGAATCTCCCCATCTTTTCTGTAGGCCCCTTTTAAGCACTGGTAGATGTAGGTTCCTTACCACTGTGCTAACAAAGCTTTAAGTGGGTTGGCAATCTTTGCGCTCTACTGGTGATGAGATATTTCTGTTTCAGAGAATATCCAATTCTTGACATCCCTCAGAATTTATGTGACTAATATTAATCATAATGAAATTCTATTTATATTTCATGTTATACAAACAGTATGACTAGGACCTGCTGAAAAGATGCATACCTGTATTGTTGTCGTAGAATTTGATGTGTCTGTCTTCATGAGCAGTGATACTAATTGGAAGAGTTGGATGGCTGATGACTCTGTTTATCTGACAGGAGGAACTGACTGCTAAGAAAAAACCCACACATACCAATACATGTAAATTGCTACGGTCTTTGAAAAGACTGCTACTAAGAAATAAATATGTAATCAATCTTATTTGCAAAATAATTCTTACCTCTATATAATGGCAACTCTTAGCTAGCACCTTATGTAATGTGGTTTACTCTAAAATACTTTCAAAATTATATACACATGGAGGCATACATAAACCATATGCATGAGTGTAAATGCAAACAAATAACGTCCAAGTTTGGCCATGGTTTTAGATGGACACATCAGGCAAGAATGTGAAGCCAAAAACTTAGTGAAAATACCTTTTCTGTACTTCCTCACCTCCACACTCCTCCTCTTGTCAAGCCAAACTTTCCTCATAACATACAGACAGTACAGGAAAATTAACACTGCAGGCAGTATGTGTCCCGGCAAACAAGAACCTATGCCCTCACCCACAGAGCAAACCCCACCTACTATCATTTGATATATATCAATAAAAATTCTTATTGAAAAAAAAGGATGCTAGACTATTCATAGGAAAGCCATTTTTGTAGCCTTCAAGAATCTTGAAATATCATATATATATATATATACACACATACACATATACAAAAAAAGTATAGGAGCTTTTTTAATTAGAAATCTGGGCACTGCTGCCATGCAATGCAACAGTACTTTTGAGATGTGTATATGGATTACCACAAAAACACAAATAGACACCTTATAGAGCACCAAAATACAGTTTTCTTTCATGTGGAAGTTGACTGTACTTAGTCAAACTGCTGCCAAACACCATTCACATCATCTAATCAAAATTCTTACTAAAATAAACAAAGTAGAATACTACTATAGGACCACTTGCTACTAAGGTGGTAAAGATTTCGATTTACATCTTTCTGTAAAAATCTGAACCATCAAGTACTGTCAGCATCCACAGGATACTTAAAAATTATGAAAGTATAACTTAAGGAAAAAACATATCTACAATAAAAACCTCCCTAAAATTACTAAAAGTACAAGTCACACAGCCATCTCTCCTCACAGTTTTAAAATGCCAAGCAGTCTGAAGGTTATACTGAACAGCAGAGTCTCTAAGTGGTACTGGTAGGTCATTTCAGGTGACTCATTTTCCTCTTGCCTAGTTCTTGTAGAAATAATAATTTATTATATTTTTTAAAATACATGTAAGCTTTATAGCACTGTTACGTAAAGATACTAAACAAGGACTGCTGGTTGCTACACTGTAGTCTCATTTTCTTAAAGGAATATTATAGGAATATAATATCTTAAAGGACTAATTACAGTAAGGAGGAGGTGGTAAAAAAAAATAGAAAGAAAAAAAAGGAAGAAAGGTAACTTCCACTGAATAGATATAACTGATTTAGGGTTTTTTCAGACAGGAACAAGGATGTGGGTTAAAAAAAAAGAAACACTGCACAGTATGGAATAATACAAAGAAGGGATATGGCATTTTCTATTCCCTCTTATAAAATGACAGACAAGCAAGGCTAACAAGAAGGGCTTACTCCTTTTTAAAAATATAACTACACACTAGAATTCAGTGTCATAAAAATTTCAGGGGA